TTTTAGTATGTACCAAATACCAAGTTTCATACATGTCATAGTGTTTCTTTCTGGTATTCTTACTTCCAGCCATACGCACATTTTCTACTGTCAGGCAGTTCTCACTGTGCCCAATATACACCATCTCATCCCAACCCTCTTGTCATTAGGCAGCCCTCGATCTTTCTTTCTTCTGTATGGAATTCCATGTGTTTCTAAAGAACTCTACTAATTCCTACTACTTGGTTGGCATACAGGGACTCTGGGTGGTTTAATGAAAAGATGGCCAGTTCGAAGGTATAAAGTTTATATAATGGCAAAGGATAAAAGGAATTAAGAGAACATTTTATGATGCATTAAATTACACATCACACTCCCAGGCAGAGTTGCAGCTTTCCAGATCCCCAGAGTTCTCTGCAAGGAGGTGGCACTGTGGCTGATACCAGGTGTGGAGAGTTAATGGTTGCATCAGCTATGAGATAATCTCTGGGCAATCTGCCAGGATGTTTTTACAAATGTCTTCTGCAGTACAGTATACTCACAGAAAAAGGCACATTTCACGTGTTCAGGTTGATATAGTTTTGCAAACTAAACACCTCAAGGGAGTTTTTATACCATGAGCTCTACCCTGTCCAACTATTCTGGAAACTGTGACATTGGGTTTGCCTGTAAAGCAAAACAACCTCAAAACATGCCTGAGTATTTACTGTGAAACTGGGTATTTCCAAAGTTCATTGCTCAGCAGGCCTGGACTTCAGGTCTATTTAGCACATATTCTTAGGCCCACCTTTTCCAATTTCACAGGTGCCTCTCATCTCTCCTTTAAGCTCTTGTTTACTCTGGATCACACATTTTAGTAATTGGGGGCTCACTAATTGCTTCACATCTATTCTGTTCCCATTGCAACTTTATTTTGACAAACTTTACATGTATTGCTTACTATTTAATTGAAAAGTTGGTTTTTCTTTAAATATATCATTTAAAATTGTTTTCTTCAAATAGCATTATTTTAAGGAGCAGAACAAGAAATTAATGACAAAATGGGATTTTTTTTCCTTAAATAAGATTTTTTTCTTTTTCCTGTTATTTGTTTTTTTTTTTTTACACAGTCTGTTGCCAAGGCCTGGAGAGCAGTGGCTCAATCTCAGCTCACTGCAACCTCTACCACCCAGTTCAAGTGATTCTCCTGCCTCAGCCTCCTGAGTAGCGGGTATTATAGGCGCACACAACCACATCCAGCTAATTTTTTTATTTTTATTAGAAACGGGGTTTCTGCATGTTGGCCAGGCTGGTCTCAAACTTGTGACCTCAAATGATCTGCCTGGCTCGGCCTCCCATAGTGCTGGGATTACAGATGTGAGCCACCATGCCCAGCCTTAAATAAGATTTTCAACAACTACACAATTAGGGTGAGGAATCCATAAAACATTCACACCTTTAATATTCCAAGTCAAAGTTCCAACTGCTTTAACACTCTGTCCTCTACCAGCTCACTGTACAAATCTATAAATTCTTATAAATTAATCTTTACAAATTTTGTTTCTATATTATATTGGCCAGATATTTTAGTTAACATCTCCTAAACTGCAAACATGTTGATTGGAGACCAGCCTCAATGAGGCTTCTGTCTTTGAAACTGCCTGTTTCTGTAGGACAGGCAAAGCTGACTACATTGGACTTGAAGTCATGATACTAAACTACTGGAAGGTGTAGGCAAGGGTTTCTTTTATATATTTTACTTAAAGAATATTATAACCAATTTGGCTTATCAAATTAGTGTAGCTAGAGGCCGAGGCAAGCAGATCATTTGAGGTCAGGAGTTTGAGACAAGCCTGGCCAACATGGTGAAACTCTGTTTCCAACAAAAATACAAAAAAATTAGTGGTGGCAGGCGCCTGTAATCCCAGCTACTCAGGAGTCTGAGGCATGAGAATCGCTTGAACCCAGGAGGTGGAGGTTGCAGTGAGCTGAGATCGTGCCACTGCACTCCAGCCTGGGCGACAGAGATGGAGTTTGTGAGACTCCATTTCACAAACAAACCAACCCACACATAAATTAGTGTAGCTAAAAGGGTATTCCTCAAGTTTGACAAGAAAGGGGAGAGACAGGTACAGCTACATATTGCTAGAGTGTAAACTGTACAACCTCTCAGAAGAGCAGTATGGTAATACTAAAACTGTTTACACCTTTATGCCCAGTAATTTCATTTCCTTTTTCTTTCTTTCTTTTTTTCTTTTTTGTGAGACAAAGTCTCACTCTTTCTCCCAGGCTGGAAGTGCAGTGGTGCCATCTCTATTCACTGCAAACTTCGCCTCCTGGGTGCAAGCTATTCTCCTGTCTCAGCCTCCTGAGTAGCTGGGATTACATGCGTGACCCACCACGCCCAGCGAATGTTTTGTATTTTTAGTAGAGACGGTGTTTTCGCCATGTTAGCCAGGCTGGTCTCAAACTCCTAACCTCAGGTGATCCACTAAAAGTGGTGGGATTACAGGCGTGAGCCACTGCGCCTGGGCTCCATTTCTTTTTTTTTTTTTTGAAACGGAGTTTCGCTCTTGTTGCCCAGGCTGGAGTGTCTGAGTACATATTCATAAATACAGATAAAGATTTATGTATATAATGTGGTAATATATAGAGGCTAAAAGAAAAAAAGATTTTGGTACAAAAATATTTCATCCACCATTATTTATACTAAGGGTAAAAATGTTGAAGCCATCCAGCCACAGGCAAAATATTAAATAATTTATACCATTAGGTAGAAAAAAGCTAATGAAATTTTAGACATGAAAAAAGCTCATGACACAAGTTTATGTTCAAAAAGACAGTTTGCAGGACTTTTTGTAAAATTATTGATGTTTTTTTCTGAAAGACTGAGAGGAAATGTTATCTCTGAGTGGTGTAATTATTGAACCCGGGAGGTAGAGGTTGTGGTGAGTCGAGATTGCACCGTGGCACTGCAGCCTGGGCAACAAGAGCAAAACCCTGTCTCAAAAAAAAAAAAAAAAATGTTTTTTGTTTTGTTTTGTTTTGTTTTTTGAGACAGTCTTGTTCTTGTCGCCCAGGCTGGAGCGCAGTGGCATGATCTCAGCTCACCGCAACCTCTGCCTCCCGGGTTCAAGCGATTCTCCTGCCTCAGCCTCCCGACTAGCTGAGATTGCAGGTATGCACCACCACGCCCGGCTAATTTTGTATTTTTAGTAGAGACAGGGTTTCTCCATGTTGGTCAGGCTGGTCTCCAACTCCTGACCTCAGGTGAGATCTGCCCACCTCGGCCTCCCAAAGTGCTGGGATTACAGGCCACCGCGTACTGCCCAATTTCAAATTTAAATGTGACCATTTTAGGTCATTACTCTTCAAGGGTAACTGGTTTGCACAGACTGATATATTTTTAATATTTCCTCATGGATTAAAAATAAAAGCTGTGCCTTTGATTTTCATCTGAACATAGTCCTACGCTATTTAGTGCATTTAGTTAACAAGTGGTAACTTGCCTAGGAACTTTTTCCTGGATAATTTTTATCTCACAAAGGACTGGGAGGGCCACTTTGTAGTTAATGACACATGGAAACCAGTCTACCGTGAGCCACTGGGGCGCACTGGCAAAGGCTTAAGAAAAGGCGTCCTGCGTTTCAGCGAGCTCAGGTTACCCACCCAGCGGCAGGGCTGGGGCCCGTGGCAGGCAGCCTGCCCTGGGAGACCTCTGGGGAAACCCGAGCGCGGAGGCGAGGGCAGAAGACGCCAAGTCAGGGACCGCCGAGGGTGGCCAAACAGAGAAGGCCAATCAGGGAGACCGGCCTCGGAAAACAGAGGCAGTGCAGGGTGGAGAACGGGAGAAAGGTAAAAACTTTCAGCAGGGATGGCCGAACCGTCGATGCAATGCCCCTTTAAAACGACGTTTTAGGCGGTCACGAGGCCTTGCGACTGCAGCTTTAGCAACACAGAAAGAAGTGCAACGTTGGGCTCTTTCCAAGTCTGAGCTCACTCTGACTCTACAGTCAGAAGCCGGGTAGGACCTCGCAATCCGGGCGAAAGGGCGCTCAGGCGCCGCCGCACCGGCCAGCCTGGTGGGGTGCCTGTTCCCCCGGTTCTGGGTCTCCGCCGGCGAGAAGAGGGCGGGGCCTGTTCCCTTTGCTCTGGGTCTTGGCGGGCGTGCGGAGGGCGGGGCCTGTTCCCTATGCTCTGGGTCTTGGCGGGCGGGGCCTGTTCCCTATGCTCTGGGTCTCGGCGGGCGGGGCCTGTTCCCTATGCTCTNGATCTCTGCGGGCGTGCGGAGGGCGGGGCCTGTTCCCTTTGCTCTGGGTCTCGGCGGGCGGGGCCTGTTCCCTATGCTCTGGGTCTCGGCGGGCGGGGCCTGTTCCCTATGCTCTGGGTCTCGGCGGGCGGGGCCTGTTCCCTATGCTCTGGGTCTTGGCGGGCGGGGCCTGTTCCCTATGCTCTGGGTCTTGGCGGGCGTGCGGAGGGCGGGGCCTGTTCCCTCCCTTCCGGGTCCGGGCGGGCCTTAGCCAGGCGGGGCCTGTTCCCTTCGCCCTGGGTCTCCGCCGGCGCCTAAGCAGGCAGCCTCATCTGCGCGGCACGTGACCCGCACCGGCTGCGGGCACTTGAGGGCAAGATCCCGCGCGGCCCCGGATGTGAGTCGCGGGTAGGTGAGAGCAGCCGTGCCCACGGCCCGGCTCAGCGGTGGCGGCGGCAGGTGGGGGAGCGACTGGGCTCTGCCGGCGGAGCCTCCTCGCGCGGGGCGTTTGAACCTTCCGCTTGCTAGTTCTAACCGCGCAGTAGGGAACTGCCAGAACCTTGAATGCAGCAAGGCGCGGTTCGTGCACCCTTGCCCCGGGGCTGCGGCGCGCGTGCCGGCGTCGGGCGGAAGGAAGCCCCCTGCGGGGTGAGCTGCCTGCGGGGCCGCCCTCCTGCCTGGGGTCGCTCAGTCAGCATAGGCCCGGCCGCTCTCTGAGTCGGGCACATTCCTGGTCCTTTTGTGAGGGGGGTGTAAGTCGCGGGCTTTATTTTGGGAGCGCTGGGCACCTTTCGGGTTTGCTTTGGATGGGGTGGGATGCGTGTGTTGACGCTGGCCAGCTGACCTAGCGTGCCCGGGGATTCACTGTTCGCGTGACAGCCGAGGCCCGAGGGAACGGCCACACCTCCAGGCAGGTCCTGGGTAGGCCTGAGAGCCTTTTCAAAATAGACTGTTCAGCTGACGGTGGCCTCTGTGCTTCCCACTGAATGTCCTGGAACTGCAAAGGGAGCTGAGTGCCGCCGCCGAGGGCTGGGAGCCGAAGTCTGTTAGGAAAATCACCTGTGCGCACTTGCTGGGATTCGCGAGCTCTCCAGAAAGCACCACCTGGTCTTGATTGTTTTCAGAACAACAGTACAGGGATAATCTACTAGAAATTTGCGTGTTTGTTTTTTAGGCTTTATTGGAGTTTACGTTCGAAGAAAAGAGGCTAAACTTATCCTAAAAGGATAAGATGAAGATGGGGAAAGGCATGCTAATATGTCTTAATAGTTGTTTGATTGATGGGGTCTTGCTCTGGTGCTCAGGCTAGAGGGCAGTGGTGCAGTCACAGGCGTCACCTCCGGGGCTCTAACAATGCTCTCACCTCAGCCTCCTGAGTAACTGGGACTACAGGTGCTTGCCACCACACTCAGCTAATTCTTTTATTTTTTTTTATTTTATTTTTGTAGAGATGAGGTCTTGCTTTGTTGCCCAGACTGGTCTCAAACTCTTGGGCTCAAGCAGTCCTCCCGCCTCAGCCTCTCAGGTAGCTGAGACTACAGGTGCTTGCCACCATACCCAGCTAATTATTTTTATTTTTGGAGAGATGGGGTCTTGCTTTGTTACCCAGACTGGCCTCAAATTCCTGGGCTCAAGTGTCGGTCTCGGCTTCCCAAAGTGCTGGGACTACAAGTGTGTGCCACTGTGTCCAGACCTTTTTTTTTTTTTTTTTTTTTTTTCTTCTTTCCTCAAATTTCCCCCTCTTTTTCCTTTTTTTTTTTTTTTTTTTTTTTTTTGGTAGAGATATTTCCATAAATAAGACTAGGACAAAGGATTATCAATTTTACAAGTCAAGGTTATACCTCTCCCTTTCAGAGCTGATTCTGCCTCTATACCAGTTTTCCTCTGTCAGATGTGTGTGTGTGTGTATTAGTTTTGGTAGATTTTCTAACCATTTCATATTACATATGGATTATTATTTATTTTGTTCAATTGGGCTTGAACAAAATGAATATTCAACATATATTTGTTTAAGTATATGAGGTGCCTGACAGTTTTACATGGTGTGGATACAGAAATGAGCAAGATGGCAAAGTACCTACTCCTTTGGAATTTACATCCTAGTCGGGGGAGACAATTTAACAAATATCTGATGCTGGTGGTAATTGCTGTATTGAGAATACAGCGTGATGTGCTAGCCTAGAGAGTGGCTTCTTTAGGGAAACCCTCTCTGAGGAGAGACACTGGAATTGAGATATGAATGATAAATAGGATCCCAGGAGCAGAGGGAAGTGCATTTCAGCTCGAGAAACGACTTTACGGAGGCGGAAGACTGGCCAAGGAGGCTGGAAGGAACCCAGGGAGAGTGGCTAGAGTTGAGATCTAAGAAGTGGCAGATAGGAATCAGATTATATACGGCTTTGTTTGCCGTGGTTAGGAGTTTGATTTTATTCTTAATTTGTAAATTTGTTCTTGTGTGGTCTGGCTAAGTTCACTTTTTGACGCTTACTTAAGTTTTCTTTTCTTGGTTTCCTTGAGTCATTCAGAGGTGGTTCCTCACCTCAAGTCTTTTGTATAATTCTACTCTTTACCAGACAGGATGACAAACCATAATGGGATAGCTTTCAACATGGACACTTATTAATCAATTTCCAAAGAGACTTTTGTTGGGGTTTTTTTTTTTGGAAATGGAATTTCGCTCATGTTGCCCAGACTGGAGTGCAATGGCGCGATCTTGGCTCACTGCAACCTCTGCCTCCCAGGTTCAAGTGATTCTCCTGCCTCAGCCTCCTGAGTAGTTGGGATTACAGGCATGTGCTACCACACCCAGCTAATTTTGTATTTTTAGTGGAGTCGGGGGTTTCTCCATGTTGGTCAGACTGGTCTTGAACTGCTGACCTCAGGTCATCCACCTGCCTCAGCCTCCCAAAGTGCTGGGATTACAGACACGAACCACCACACCTGGCCTGTTGTTTTTTAAAGCGCAAATCCTACAGTTTCATTTGAAAGGGGGAGCAGATAGCCTTGTCTTCATCTTGTGGAGGGAGCAGCTAAGATGTTTTATTAATATAGAAAATACTTTTTGAGCTGAGATGAGCAGATCTGGAATGGGATATTGTTGAGAACTCCTTATGAAAAAGGCTTTAAAGGCAAAATAAATACCTTAGGTTTTGAAAGCTCAACATCAAATCAGTTTGAAGTTATTTGACAAGGCTCTTTTTGAGGAGTTGTAGAAATTTATTGGTATGGCAATGGTGGTTGTGAGAAGCAGAGGTTATAGTCTTATAGATTCTTTTTTTCTGTTTAAATTGTTCTTATCCCAGGTAACAGATTGTCCTTTAAAAGAGAGCTCCCTTGGCTGGGTGAGGTGGCTCACGCCTGTAACCCCAGCACTTTGGGAGGCCGAGGTGGGTGGATCACTCGAGGCCAGGAGTTCAAGACCAGCCTGACCAACATGGGGAAACCTCATCTCTACTAAAAATACAAAAAATTAGCGGGACATCATGCGGCATGCCTGTAATCCCAGCTGCTTGGGAGTCTGAGGTGGGAGAATCACTTGAACCCGGGAGGCGGAGGTTGCAGTGAGCTAACATGCCACTGCACTTGCTTCTGGGTGACAGAGCGAGACCCTGTCTCAAAAAACAAACAAAACAGAGCTCCCAATCCCCAGGGCTGAGGACTGGTACCAATTGTGGTCTGTTAGGAACTGGGCTGCGTAGTAGGAGGTGAGGGCGCAGGTGAACTCCATGTCTGATCAGATCAGCTGCTATGTTAGATTTTCTTTTTCTTTTTCTTTTTTTTATTTTTTCTTTTTGAGATGGTGTCTCACTCTGTCACCCAAGCTGGAGTGCAGTGGCATGACCTCGGCCCACTGCAACCTCTACCTCCCCTCAGGGGATTCTTCTACTTCAGCCTCCTGAGTAGCTGGGGCTACAGGCATCCACAAACCCTATTGTGAACTGCACGTGCGAGGGATCTGGGTGTGTGCTTCTTATGAATCTAATGCCCCACAGTCTGAGGTGGAACTCTTTCATCCTGAAACCATCCCCTGTACCCCAGTCCAGGGAAAAGTTGTCTTCTATGAAACTGGCTCCTGCTGCCACAAAGGTTGGGGACCATTGCTTTAAAATGTTGATGTAGAAGTTTTCATTGAGCAAATTTTAAAATGTTGGCCTTTTTATATTGATTCAAATTGCATTTATGTGATTCCTAGAATGAAATAACCTTTATCTGCTTAAAAATTTCAGGCTGTTTTACTTAGAGCATGGTGAAACTAATTCACACATTAGCTGATCATAGTGATGACGTCAACTGCTGTGCCTTCTCCTTCTCCCTCTTGGCTACTTGCTCCTTGGACAAAACAATTCGCCTGTACTCGTTAAGTGACTTTACTGAACTGCCACACTCTCCGTTGAAGTTTCATACCTATGCCGTCCACTGCTGCTGTTTCTCCCCTTCAGGACATATTTTGGCATCGTGTTCAACAGATGGTACTACTGTCCTATGGAATACTGAAAATGGACAGACGTTGGCAGTGATGGAACAGCCTAGTGGCAGCCCTGTGAGGGTTTGCCAGTTCTCCCCAGACTCCACATGTTTGGCATCAGGAGCAGCTGATGGAACTGTGGTTTTGTGGAATGCGCAGTCGTACAAGTTATATAGGTATGGATATTTAAATTCTTCCTTTTTAATTCTGTTGAGTAGGTGAGCTTAAACAAAAAAAAGCTGAAAGCAAAATATTTTGATATTCTGCACAGTCCAAGTGATGTGGAAAAAAAGAAAAAATATTTTGATGACCCTAGGAAGCCAATACTTTTCAGGTAGCACAAGGAAAAATACTTTAACTGGCCTTCTAAAGGTCAAAATCCCAGAGAGATGTTTAATATGATTCTTATAGTAGATTTGCTTAGCTCTGAGAGTTTTACATTTCCAATCTTCACATTAAGAGTTAATCTTGTTAGACTTCTATGGATTTTTTTTTTTTTCACTGTAAGAGTTAAGCAAAGAAAGCAGTATTTTGAATAAGGTTCAGTAATTTTAGGCTTTATTTTTATCACTTGTGGTTTAAATTTTTTTTTTTTTTTTTTTTTTCCCATTTATTTATTTTTTTTTTTTTTTTTTTTTTTTTTTTTTTTTTTTTTTTTGGAGACAGAGTTTCCCGCTTGTTGCCCAGGATGGAGTGCAATAGAACGATCTCAGCTCACTGCAACTTCTGCCTCCTGGGTTCAAGCGATTCTCCTGCCTCAGCCTCCCAAGTAGCTGGGATTACAGGCACCTATCACCATGCCCAGCTAATTTTTTGTATTTTTAGTAGAGATGGGGTTTCACCATGTTGGCCAGGCTGGTCTTGAACTCCTGACCTCAAGTGGTCTACCTGCCACAGCCTCCCAAAGTGCTGGGATTACAGGTATTAGCCATCAGCCTCCCAAAGTGCTGGGATTACAGGTATTAGCCATCGTGCCTAGCCCAAGTGTTTTCAATAATAAAGTAATAGTAGGTAAGACTCACCTAAGAGAAACAGTTATTTCTCTGACTGCAATTCTTGCTGGGCGAATGACCAAGCCCAGAAGAAAGAACCTCAGGCCTGGTGTGGTGGTGATGTGTTATTTATCATTTCTTTAAAAAAAAAAAAAAAAAACTGAAAAACTCTTTGGGGAAAAAAAAATCAATTAATTTACATTGGTAATGTTGTGTTGCAATTTAACAACATTAAAACTATTCACATTTATTTATATTGTGGCAAAATATACATAACAAAAGTTATCATTTTTGTTAGCTAGGTGTGTGCCTGTAGTCCTCACTACTCCAGAGTCTGAGGTGGGAGGATTGTTTGAAGCCAGGAATTTGAGGCTGCAGTGAGCTAGGATTACACTACTGTACTCCAGACTGAGTGACCCTGTGTCAAAAAAAAAAGTTACCATTTTTACGTTAACACTCTTAGATGACATTAAGTACATTTTAAAAACTGTGCGCTTTTAAGTATTAAAATAGCTTAGTGTACCTCCCCTTCCTAGCCCGCAACATCTTTCAGAGCACAAATGACAGCTGGTGACAACTATTGCTCATTTAAGCTTAGGTCTTTGGGTTGAAGAAGGTGATGTGTTTTAAGTGGTGTTAATAAACACTTAGGCCAAATATCTTTTTTATATGCATGAAATCTAGCTGTCAACTAAGGAACCTTTTCACTTACCTCATGACGGCTTCTGACTATAGCATAACTATCCCTAAAGTATGTAATTA